TGCTGGGGGCAAAAGGCGGGGGCAGCGGATGCCCCAGGAGCTCCCAGGGATGGGAGGGGAGGCCAAGCCGCCGTGATGGTAGTGGCATCACCATGCCCACGTGGAAGAGAGGAGTTTCTGCCCCACTACGGGGTGGCACGTGTTCACATGGCAGGGGGAGCCCCCAGACATTCAGTGCTTAAGCTGCAGGGCTTGAGCCAGCGGTGGGGAAAGGCAGGGGCATGGAGGTGGGAGGGATGCGTTGAAGGCCACGCAGAAAGAGCCAGTGGGCTCCACGCTTTGGTGGTGCTTAGTGGTGATGAGCGCAGTGCAAGGGCTTCAAGAAGAAGAGTATGGCCCTCCCTCCTCCCAGAAGGCCACTCCGGCTCCCGGGAACGCACTGCCTGAGCAAGGCAGTACCTGCTGATGCTCCCAGGCATGGAGCCAGGGACAGGCAATGTGTGCCAGCAGGGATGGGGCAGCACTAGAGCAAGCGATACAAGCCCCCCCCCGCCTCCTTCCCCCTTGCAGGTCCTGCCTCTGCCCCCAGCCTGCTCCTTGGCTCCCACCAAGCTCGGTGCAGGGATGCACAGGTCCCCATGCTGCCTGCCCTCCTCCTGTTCTGGGGTGGGGGGGGTGGGGGTGGGGTTGTGTGGAAAGAAGTCCAGCCCAGAAGAGGAGAAGGGCATCCCCTGCCTGCCTTGAGCCCTGGTCCACCAGAGAGGGTGGCGTTAGGCTTGCTGGGAGGCAGGGCTGCTGGCTCAGCGTGGGATGGAGCAAGGGGGGAAGAGTATCCTGTGTCCACAGATCCAAGGGGAGGCACTTGGAGGTGGCCTGGCCCGTGGCGGTGTCCCAGCTGCAGCAGATCTGTCGTGGTTCCTAGCCGCACATTGTCAGCAGCAGCCACTGGGAAGGAGAGGGAGAAGGGATGAGCAGGGGCTGGTGTGTTTTTTGCCTGCCTTCACATGTCAACTTTGACAGCCCTCCAAGAAACATGGAGCCTGAACCAATCCCAGTTTCTCGTCTTTATCTTTTATCGGTTCTTTCCCAACCCAAGGGGCTGGAGGGCTTTCTACCACCCACCCCAGGTGCCCCATTCACCTTAGGCCCTGTCCCCTTGCCTCCCACCCCACCTCTGGGCCCACCCCACCACCAGGCTGAGCTCTCACCTCAGAGAGGTTCATGACAGCAGTGCCGGTGCCTTCGGGGTCCATGCTGTAGAAGAACCCTGAAGGGGCACAAAAGCAAGGTGAGCAACCCATCACTCTGGCCCTGCCCTCCCTGCCCCAGGGCCGGCACTCACTGAACATGGCCTCCAGCTTAACGAGGCAGCAGACAAAGTTGTCAAAGTCCACACCCATGTCAGCATCTGCATAGCGGGCCACCACCACCTGATGCAGCTTGTTGTTCAGCTTGAAACCTGCAAGGCAGAGAAGAGTCAGCACCCCAGGGAGGCAGGAGAGGAGGATGTAACTACAAAAGTCCATGCCCCCACCTGAAGGGGCCACCAACCCACCCAAGGAAGGGCACCGAGTCCAGCCTCAGTAGGAAGAGGGGATGCTCTCCCCGGAGCCATATGCCTAGTTAGCTCACTGATCCACCCCAAGCCTCTGCTTCGCCAGCATGGGACCCTGCAGGTCAGAGGAGGACAGAGGCTGGGACCACCTTGCGTGCGTCCCTAACCCTGAGGCTCCAGCACTTGGCATAGCTGGGATGGAGAGGGCCCAGCGCAGACAATGGGGTACAACACCCTACCACAACAGGTTGCCTCCAAGCATGCAATATAGGTTTCACTCTTCTCCAGCTACTTGGTGCAGGGTTCCAACAGCCACAACCCAGCCCCCCGCCCAGCCCCATCCTTCTCCAGACCTACCGGCTGACTCCAGAGCCATGCGCATCTCGTAGGAGCTCATGGTGCCCGACTTATCCAGGTCATGCTGGCGGAAGATTCCCTGCAAAAGCATCACGGAGGATGTGAAGGGCAGGCTCTCCTGCAGCCTCCAGCCTGGCTGTCCCATCACCCTGCTGCCCCAGGAGGGGTGCTACCCCTGTGCAGTGCGCCATGCCCTCCGCTCCTCCTCACCAGCCAGCTCCGGATCTTGTTCCACAGGATCTGGAACTCCACCAGCCCAAGGCGGGCACTGCCATCTTTCTGGGGAGCAGAGGGTCAAGGAGAAGGCAGCCAGCAAAGGGAGTGGTGTAAAGGCAAAGCCATCAGATCTCAGACACCTGAGGTGGGAAAAGCCTGGCCACACTTGGGCTACCCAATTTTCCCCCCCAACTTTCCTCTATCCTGCAGCATCAGCAAGATCACAGAATCCCAGAATGGCAGGGGTTGGAAGGGAGCTCACCCAGTCCCACCCCCCTGCTCAAGCAGGCTCACCCAGAGCAGGGGGCACAGGACAGCGTCCAGGTGGGCTTTGAATATCTCCAGAGAAGGAGACTCCACAGCCCCCCTGGGCAGCAGATCAGAGCCTGCAACCCAGCAAGGGACAGTGCAACGCTTAAACTAGCTGCCATGCCACCCCCAGGAGCAGCCGTGCTGCTGCTAGAAGGAAGCAGGCTGCTCTGGTGTCCTTGGAGCAAAATTGGACTGGCCTGCAGCAAAAGGGGACGCTGCAGAGCCAGGCTGGAGAAGGGCTCGGAGGTGCTCCTCTACCCTCACCTGACATTTCCTGCATGCCCAGAAGAGTTTGGGCCACAGCTGGATGCCCCTTCCCCAAATCTGCTCCCATCACACCATCCCTGGGGGCAGCTGTGGCAGAGATGGTCTTGTCTGCAGGACGGGACTGAGCGAGCGTGGGGTGGACTGGAGCTCTCACAGCTGCACATCCTCGTGCGAGCAGGAACACAGGCTGTGGTTTCCTCTCGCTTTACACCTCTCATCCCCAACTGCTGGACAGAATGGTTAGGGGGGCAAGAAGCCAAGAGCGCTCGTTGCCTTCCAGAAGGGCCTCAAAGGCTGGGTGGCATCACGGCACGTCAGGCTGGGGGAAGCATGGGGTGCTTCCTCCTGGAGGGGAAGGTTGAAGACATGAGTGGGGCTGGGCTGTGCTTCTGGCGGTGGAGCCAGGGCCCAAAGCAAGCAGGGGAATTGATGGGCCTTCCCAAAAAACCTGCTGCTAAAGCCCAGGGGTGTAGGGCAGGTGGCCCTGAAGCCAACAAGGACCCTTTCCTTCCTTCCCCTGGTTGAAAAGGCTCGGCACGGCCAGAGAGCATAGCCCGAGCTCCTGCAGAAGTCTGTCTGCCAGCAGGCTGAGCACGGGGAAAGCTGGCCCCTGCCCGCAGCGCCAAGAGGATACGTCCATCAGGTTGACCATGTTGCGGCAGGAGTCCAGGCTGAACCCATCCGTCTTCAGATCTTTGTCTGAGAAGGAAGGAGGAGACTGAGAACATGCATCAAAACCCAACCTGCTGAGCAGGCCTGGGCCATGGGGAGCGAAGGGTGGAAGGGCAGTGCTTACGTCTAGCGATGACTCTGTTCAGAATAGTCCGGAGCTCGAAGACGCTGATTTCCATGTCCTGTAGCAGGAACGGAGTTAGCAGCACCCCTTGCCTGCTCTCCACCCCACTTGTGGCCATTCCCCACCTCCTGCCTAAACATCTCTCTTAGTCACAAAACATCAGGGTGCAATTGCATTTCCTGCACGCCTTGAAGAGTTTGGGCCACAGCTGGATGCCCCTTCCCCAAATCTGCTCCCATCACACCACCCCTGGGGGCAGCTGTGGCAGAGATGGACTTGTCTGCAGTGTGGGGTGGACTGGAGCTCTCACAGCCAGGGGTCCCGTCCTGTCCTCTCCCCAGGCCAGGGTTCCCCTGAGCTCAGTGCAGCCATACCCACCTCCCCTGCCAGCTGCTGGAACATGTTCTTGAAGCCGTCCTCTATGTCTTCCTCAGTTATTTCCTCCTGGGGTGATGCAGGCCAGAAAGAAGAGGTTAGTGGTCAAACCTGAACTGGAAGGGGAAGCTCTTTGTTCTTCTTATCTTTGTTACTTCCCACATCCCCATCATCTTGACCCTGCCAGCCCCTCTCCAGCCACAGTGACATCCCAAACCCAGCCACCCCCTGCCTGCGGCTCCTCCTCCCAAGCCCCAGAGCCTCAGCACCTACCAAACCAAAGCGGTGGCTCCTACCTCATCTGCCAGATCTGCCGAGATCTCCTCATCCAGCTCCCTGGGGGCAGAAAGGAGGAAACCAAAGTGAGGAGCAGGGTCCCCAGACAGCAGGCTGCCTGCGGTGGGAAAATGCCCCACCGCTCACGGACACAGGGTGTCCCAGGGCCAGGTGGGGACTCACGCCGTGTCCGACTGCTTCTCGGTGAAGACCCGCAGGATGAAGTCAGCCTCCTTGTGCGGCTCGAAGGTGGAGGGCACGACGATGTACTCGCCGGGGGGTAGCCGGATCTGGTTGCTCACCTCCCGCAGGTTGATGAAGGTCTCAGAGCGTGCCCGCGACTGGTTTCGCAGGAAGAAGTCCTTCTTCAAGTGCACGTTCTGGCTGCCCTGGGCCTGGGGGGAATGAACGTGCTCATGGACCACAGCCCTGCAACTGGGGGGACCCACGGGGAGCGGCAGGATCAAAGCCAGCCCCGTTGGGCAAGACATCCCTGCCCTGCCCATCCCAGCAGGAGCCATCCTTTCCATACGGAGGTGCCCAGCACCCAGCACCCCAGCCACTGCCAGCCCCGTGGGAGCTCCCAGGGTGCACGTCCATGTCCATTAACCCATTCCTGCCCATTCTCGCAATTCCCTCCAGGAAGGGAGTAGGCTCTGGCAGCTCAGGACATACCTCCTCAGGAACCTGCAGGGAAGAGAGAAAAGGGGAAAAAAACCAAAAAAAATCATAATCCCACTACCTGCCCCTGTCCCTTACAGTGCGGGGAGCATGGGACGGGGGATGTTAGCCCACAGACTGGCCAAAGCGGGTGGGAAAGGTTTCCTTGAGGACTGGGGTGCCAGGTCCAGGCAGGGCTGAGCTGGTCCCAAGGAAGCAGCACTGGGGTGGGCAGGGGTTACCTCGTAGACAGCGAAGCCAATGGTGTGCATGTCGCCCCCCACTCGCCGCTCCCGCCGCCGGTGCTTCTGCATCAGAGCCACCAGGAAGCTGCAGGCCACCTCATCGTCCCCGGGGTCATCATCCTCTTCCAGCAGCTTGATCTTAAACTGGGGGTTGATCCAGAACGTGGCTTGGAAGAGGACATGCGGATGAGACACCCGGCTCAACTGCACCACCAAGAGCAGAGATGGTGGGGGGAGAGGTACCTGGGTGATTTCTGCAGCCCCCAGCAGTGCTCCCCCGGCGCCACGTGCCCTCAAACACCTGCGTGTGCCACCTGCTGAGCTCGTCCTTGGTGAGGGCATCGGGGGTCAGGTTGCAGATCTCCAGCCTGGAGAACTCCCTCATGAAGTCTCGGAAAGACATCCTGCAGGAGGCAGGCAGCGGCTGAGGCCCGGGCACCGCTGGACAAGCAGCTCTGGACCCAGCCAACGTTTTGGGAGAATTAAATGACGGCAAGACCTTTTACCCTGAGCAGTTACAGAATCCCAGAATGGCAAGGGTTGGAAGGGACCTCGGGAGATCACCCAGTCC